AAGGTCGAGAGAATTGCGGAGCAGCTGCGACAATTGCAAACTAAAGTGGATGGTCGAACAGAAAGACACGCTCGAGGACACTCGTTCTGGACTGCCCCATTGCCAGTAAATTTCAGGGATACGAGTTTGGTGTTCGATGGGACCTCTGACCCATCGAGGCTTGTGAGGACTTTTGAAAATATAGTTGTGTTGCATGGATATACTAACCCCATTAGTTGCAGAGCATTCTTATCGACCTTGCGGGGCGGCGCGCTCGACTGGTTCCAACAGCTATCCCTAGGGTCAATCACAGATTTTGAGGACTTTGCTGAGAAGTTGACGAATCAGTACTCGAGTGCAGTGGCGCGGGAGAATACGTACTTAACTCTGATGGCGATGAGGCAGGGCGAGAATGAGTCGTTGCGAAAGTATGTGGCTCGATACAATCAAGCCTGCTTGGAGATTCCGACTGCGGTGGATGAGGTCAAGGCAGGGCTGGTTGGACATGTGTCTTTGTCTCCGGGTGTCGGTGGAGTTGTTCGTCTGGACGAAGGTAAGGTCCGTAGATTCTTGATTCAGTTAGGCGTTCTGTTGCAGTTTCTGGGTCAGGGTCCTGGACTAAAACTTTGTCGTTGTTGGGCTCGAAGTGGTTTTCTGATGTGGGAAGGGTCTCGTTTATTTTGTTTATGTTGTTATTTTGGTTTCTGTTATTAGTGTTGTTTATGATTGTGTTTTTGGTCTGGGCCCTTGGCTCTAGTTAGCTCGAGTGTCACCTTATTCTCCTGTTGGGAGTCGACACTCGGATATTACCTCAGTTGGGGTCTTTTTAGTTTAGTAGGTTTTGTGTGTTAGTGTCTTATGTGTTAATGAGTATTACCCCGTTGGGGTCGGCTCTATGTGTTTTTTTACTGTTCTCCCACTTTATTCGGTTGTTGGCTGTTCGTATTCAGCTGCTAGCTATTTGTATTCAGCTTGTGACTGCTCTTTTGTACATTTGTTCGATTATATATAATATCTCTATCATTTCGAAAAAAAAATAAAAATTAACATATAATTCATCTTTTAACTTTATAAATATTAATAAATGTATAAAATGGTGTAAACATGTTTCATGTATTAGCACAACAAAATCATCTTTTGGCATGACATATTGTCATTCCCAAAAATACATGCTTGTAGACACAACATCAAACTTACTGGCACGACTAATGTCGTGTCAATAGTGTTATTGATTTATAGACACAACCATTGTATGTTGTTGCAATATAACTCCTTAATAGGAACGACTTTAATGTTGTGCCAATTTTATCGTTCCTACTAAGCATGTTTCTTGTAGTGAATTTTAATATTAAATTCACACATATTACTTATAATATTTTATGTACATCTGTGCATGTGCACATGATGATAACTAGTTTTTTTTATTGTCAATTGATTTTATAATGGAATAATATTTGAGCTTGTATGTTGAGTTTGATGGAGAACTGAACTTGAGTAGTTGGTCATAACAAAACTTTGTGCTACCAAACATTAGTTCAAATGGCCATGGCCCCAAGCTCGATTCCTTTTAATTCTTAAGGTGGTTCGAATAACCATGGCCCCAAGCTAGATTCTTGGGTATTATTGTATGGGGCCTGAGCCTGAAATCCATCAACCAAGCTCTCTGATTTTGTCTCCGAACACGGTGATGGTGTTCTCTTACGGTTTGTATTTAATTCAATAAATTATGTCGAACAATTCCTTTGTTGTCTATTTTTCTAATGTGTTGTCTGGGACTGATTGTTGCTGTTTGGGCTCGTTTCGTGGTTGTTTGAGTCCCTTAGTTGTTGCCTAGAACAAACCGAGTGTTGTACGGGTCCGTTGGGTGATTTTTAGGCTCTATCGGACTATGCTTTAACTCCAAAGATTGACGTTGCTTTAGACGAGGCTTTGACGGGTTTTAATCACAAGGTAGCTTTTTGATGGTTGTGGAATTGGCTCATGTAAATGTATTGAAGTGTATATTGTTTGTAGTTTCCTTGGAAATGATTTCATATGGTTACTTCTTGTTGATCTCGATTCTTAAGGTTAACTTGATCAAGGCAGTTGGATCATAATTATTTTGCAATAAAACCTTGTGTTCATTATCAGTAGACGTTTGGAGTTTTGTGCGACTCTTAACATTATGACTATCTGCAATAATTTGATGTTAATCTAATCAAATCCATAATAGCGTGTGTATTGTGGTTGTCAGGATTATTTGATCATCAAAGGGATTTAAAATCCTCGCCCTCATAATTTGGACTAATTGTTTAATTTTATTGCGATCAATATATGTTTGCATTATATATCTAAGATGATGAATGGATTATATAGTCATTGCCGCATTTCAAATAACATCTCTGAGTTAATGAATTCAAATTAAATCTCATCTCTCAGTTCAAAAGTTAAGAGGTTTATGAAATTTTTTTAATTTGTTTGGATTTTTTGATTTGGTTTGGTTAATTTTGAAAAGGTGGTATAGTTAGTTGTTAGTGGATTTATTAAAATAATATTTAAAATAAAATGATTAAAATTAAAATGATGTAAAAGTATGAGAGAGAAGATGTGATGTGATGGTTAGTTAAATTTTTGTGAGTAGATGAATAGTGATTTAAGGTTGATGTGGTGTGTATGAATGATTGATTGATATTATTTAATTATATTGATAATATTGATGATAGTGAGATTGAGTTAAAGTTGAGTTAAAAAAAGTGGTTGAGTTAAAGTGTTGGAAATTTTTTGAAAATTTTTATAAACAAACATAATGAATTCAAATTAAATTCTATCTCTACATTACGTGTAATGAGAAAATACAAATAAAATCTCTGAGTTAATGAATTCAAATTAAATCTCATCTCTCAGTTCAAGAGTTAACGAATTCAAATTAAATTCTATCTTTACATAATACATTACGTGTAATGAAAAAATACAAATAAAATCTCCATCGATGATATGTTGATAAATTCAAATTAAATCCTAAAATACCAAAAAAAAGAAAAACAGTTATTCCTCGTTCATTCAAATTCTATGTTTAATAATTCTGTGTTTATAGATTATGTGCTAATAAATTCAAATTAAATGTTATATTTATAGATTATGTGTTAAAAAAATATATACGAAAGATTACCTGCTAAAAAACACTTTAATTATGCGTACTAATACCGAGACATGAATTTCTTCTTTGTTACATGAATTTCTTGTTCTTTCTTTCGAGTACACACCGAGACTGTTTGAGAGGCGACTTTGTTTAAGAGTTAGATATTCTTTTTCCGACGACTTTGTTTAAGAGTTAGATATTTTTTTCCTAACTTTAATTTTATTTTATATTTCTTAATATTAAAATCTTATATATAAATAAAAATTTATCAAAAGTTTTTTTTTTTCAACATAAGACAAATCTTTATTTAACAAATTTATTTATAATATAAAAAAATGTAATAAATTTTTAGACGAATAAGAATTAACACAAGTAATTTATTTTGAATGACTTACCTCATACACGGAAAATTTTCTTAAATTTTAGTTAATATTTCAGAAAATTCGTAATATTTTCTTGTACATGTTTTAGTAAATAACAAAATCTTTACATAAATATTTTGTACTCTTTATATTTGTTAATCATATAATAATAGTAATTTAAATA